TATTTCTAATCACTTTATTTTTGATCTATTTAATATTTATTTCAGAAAATTTTTTAAAAACAACTTAATTATTTATTTAATTACTAACAATTACAAATAATTTCTAATCACTTTATTTTTTATCTATTTAATATTTATTTCAGAAAAAAATTTTAAATACAACTTAATTATTTATTTAATTACTAACAATTACAAATATTTCTAATAACTTTATTTTTTATCTATTCAAAATAATTTCCAAAAATGCTATATTTTTTTCTTAATTAATATTGTAATTACTTATCTATTTAAGTAAATGAACAACTAAATATATAATCTTAATATTTAATCAACAAAATAATAGTATATTACAATTTAATTAATATTTAGTTTATTGATTTATTTTGTACTAACCTAATGCTTTAACTTAATGAACTAGGAATAAATAAACTTACTAATGTTTTCAATAAATTGTGAATTACTTAAGTAAATTAACAATTAATAGCTACACTAATAACAATAACAATTTAAATAACAACATAAAATAAAATATAACAATTATATTTTCTAACTAAAAAAATTAACAATAAATTAAAGTAAGTAAATTAACAATTAACAATCAAATTAATTCAATCAAAAACTAAAATAAAAATAACACAAAATTAAAAAATTAACAATAATATTCAATTAATCAATAATTAACAACAACATTAACATAAAATTAACAATTAATATTAAATTAATAATTAAACATTTCAATTAACTATCACAATTTACACTAAAATAACACACTAAATAAATTTTAATTAAATAATCAAGTTAAAAAAACACATGCAATGAACAATCAATTCAATAATTAAACTAGCAATAATAAGTAATTAAACAAAAAAATCAAATTATTTGACTTAAATAAATAACTGAAAAACTTAATAATTGAAAGGATGGATTAGATTTAGGTGGACTCGTCACCAAGAGAAGGATGAGAGGGGGCAACTAACGCCGGTCAAAAAACCTCGTCGGAGAATGGTCGTCGGAAAACAACAGCTTCAACGAGCAGAGAGAAAGCTTGAAAGGAGGAGGAAAAGAGGGAAGAAATATGGAGATTTTAAGGAAACAAAAGCTTTGAGGAAACGAGAGCAGAGGTTTGGAGAAAAAAGACGGATATCGTCGTTGCGGAGGAGAAGAAAGAAAAAATGTGCAGATTCCGTTCGATCGTTATTTATAAAAAGGTAAATTTTTTAGCGACGGTCCGTAATCCGTCGCTAAACATAAATTCAAAATTAAATTTGACCGTTTCTCACCAATGGTTTATCGACCGTCGCTAATGTAACGTTTGCAACGGTTATTTTTGCAACCGGTAAAAAATTAAATAACCAATGGTTTAGCGACGGTCGTAAATTGAAGTTTTTTTTTGCAACGGTTTAATATTTAAAACCGTTGCTAATCTTCGTTCGGCTGATTTGGTAACGTTTTAGCGACCGTCCTAGACCGTCGCTAAAATGAATATTTTTGCAACGGTTTACCAACACCAAAACGTTGCTAATCGTTAGTCCGTTTTAGCCCCGACCCATTTGGTAATGGATTAGCAACGGTCGAAGACCGTTGATAAATTAGTATTTTATTTAGCAACGGTTTGTTTTATAAAATCGTTGAAAAAAATATTAAATAACATTTAGCAACGGCTTAACAACGGTTTGGACTGTTGCTAATACCAATTATATGTTTAGGAACGGTTTAACGACGGTATAAACCATTGCTAAATTTGCAACGGTGTCTTATAAATGGAAACCATCGCTAAAATGGTTGGCCTTTAACATTAGCAACGGATTTTGTAGACCGTTGCTAAAAAACGGTTGCAAATTTTAATATTTGTAATCATTTTTTAGACCGTTGCTAAGTCGGTAAAATCGTTGCTAATATTTGTCATTAGCAACGGTTTTTTGACCGTCGCTAAAACATATCTTTCTTGTAGTGATAGTAAATATCTCAATTCTTTGAGCTTTTTCCTACTAATATATATTAAATAAAAAATAAAAGATAAAAATTTTATTTAATTTTATAATTTTTAGTCAAATTTTGTATTTCATCCGTGCTTCTTTATGTTTTTCATAAATTTTGTTGTTAAAAAAATACGATTCATTTTTTTAATTCATTCATTTTTAAATAAAAACCTACAATAATATAAATATAAAATTTTTAAAAATATCTTAATATTTTTTTATAAGGCTACATCGGAGAAATATATCAACAATCTATAAAAAATTGTATAAAAATTAACTAATGAATCTTTTAAAACTTTTTAAAAATATGTACATTTGATATATAGACACACACACACAAAACAATCAATAATATTAGATATAAAAACATGTATTTAAATTATTAGGTGGTTCTTTTAAAATATTATTTTATTTAAAGTAAATTAAATTTAGAATGTTAAAAATAAATAATAGGAAATAGTTGGTGTTATATGTGTAAATGAAAAATTAATTTTTAATAAAATCAATGTTCTCAATACTTTTTTGTATACATCATTATCATACTTTGTATAAATTAAAAAATATGTTTAAAGAAACTTAAGTGGTAAGAAATATATTAAAGTTAATATAGTGCAATAAAAATAGTTTAAAATTTTATTCCAAAAAAATTGATTATATGAAGAATAAGGTAAAGAAACACATGAATTCTATTATTTAGTAAAAAGCATGTTAAAAATTCATACATAGAGAAAGATAAATCATATTTATTAAAAATAAAATTTCATAAAAAATAAAAAATTTAATTTGCAGAAAATTTCTATAATAAACGATAAATTTAAGAGATTAATTTTAATCAATAAAAAATATAATATGATATATATTTTTGTTCTAAAATTTAAAAACATAAGAGGCCAAAAATATCTTTTAAGAACATGAGGAACAAAAACTATATTTTGAAAAAAAAAATGAGACAAAAATGGATTAAGTTAAAAACACGATATGTCAAAATATTTTTAAAAATATATTTTGGAAAACATAAGGACTAAAAAGGAATGAAATGTGAAATTTGAAAATGAATCCCTAAAAAAACTATAAGAAAATTACGAAAATACCATTATAAAAAATGGCAAAATTGCCACATTAGGAACAGTGAACTAAGACAAATGAACAGTGTTTCCACTGTTCATTTGGTCCAGTTCTGTTCGTTTTTTAGTTAATAGCAATAATGGTAAAGTAATGATATTGGTCGTCCTTGCAATGGGGAGACAATTCCTCCTCATTAATTGTTTTTGGTTTAGAAAAGCAACAGCTGAAGTATGGTTCCTTGGGCAAACCTGCCAGCTGATTTGGTCTGTGCAATTGCAAAACTTCTTGAACAGTATGAGGAGTATGATATGTTGCGAAAAGTTTGTGTTTCATTGAGTCCTGCTCTTCCAGAGAGACCTTCAAAAACATTCAAGGGCATATTTAAAGGAAAAAAAAAAAAAAAGAGTAGCAGTGCCCAGTAAACTTTTGTTACAACTCCCTCCAAATAAATAAACAGTAGTAAAATCAAGAGATTAAACCAAACTGGGTTCTTAGCATCAAAAGTTACAATTTTTTAATGATGTTATGTGGTGTTAAACATTTACTTGAATGGATTCACATATAATAAATAGTAGTTTTTAAATATATGAATCTATTTCTTTATATAATAATACTAAATGTGGAACGAAACAACACAATAATCGGATACCAAAACTGTTAATACCAATAGAAGATCCAAAATAGTAGTTTTTAAACTGTTAAGAATATTCACCAATCGCTGGCAAACGTAAAAACCACTACTTATTCTCTCTGATATCCATTTGTCTAGTGAACAATCCAAGAGGGATGTCAGCATTAATCGTAAAAACCACCATTCTGACAGAGTTTGTGAAAGCCACCATACAGACGAAATCCCCATCATTCGCTACCATACAAGCCAAAAAACCATATGCTCAAATGAGAAGTTATATAAGCATCATAGCATAACGCTTATCTAGTCATCGAAAGATTCTTCCTAAAAGATAAGAGTGTTGGATTTATGGAATCCATTAGCAGAACCTACTTTTTCAGAGAATATCAAGAATATTTGAGAAGGTTAGCATTATCCTTGCTCTTAAACGTTTGAGAAACAAGGCTGAAACCAATATGGTAACTCCAGAAATCAGAATCGCACCTTTTGATTCATCATATGACGCTAGAATGCGCACGCAAAAGAGGTTTTTTTGGATCTTTTGTCAGGGTAAATAGGTAGAATCCAAATGTAATTCGGAGGAGAATCTGAAATACCGTTGCCTTGCATAAAGGAACGCAATGATTACAAAACAAGCCATAGAAAGGTCTCAAGTAGAAGGCCAGAGGTGACCGGGTATTAAGTCAAACCACACAAAAAAGCATGGAGGAGAATCATTCCAAATACCTCATATTTGTCAAAGCCAAACAACCTTTCGGTGAAGTTGCAAGAAAGGCATATCATAATAGATTATTTGGTGATCCCACATTAATAAATACAAGCAACTGCTAAGGGTCAAGACTTTAAACAAACGAGCGAGTGGGATAGATAGATTGATAGATGGCCAAGGAACAAAATAGTTTCCACCATCACATAAACAAAAACTATACTCAACTTGCAAACCATACCAACCCAATATAAAAAACCAGTTTCTCATAAGAGCATATGATTGAATGACTAATTATTTATATAGATTTTCACACGCTGCAAACAAATAAAAAGCCAACATAATTGAGGAAGAGAACCCACATGATTTTTAAAAAACGAAACTACTGCTTCATTGAACATCAAAAGATTTGATAAGTACACAACACCATGTGAGCTCCAGAGCATCAGCTCTTGAAACTAATCCTTTGTTTTTTTGTCCTAAGCTAATTCTAATCAGCTACTAAAAAAAGAACTACTATTTAAGAGATAGAAATGCAAGCAATTACAATCTAAGCAATTCTACACCAAATTGCCCAATACTTCATTCCTTGCATCCTTAACTACTCCTCCTAGTCAGCTTACTCATCGTCATCTTCCTCCTGCATAACAACAACCAAACAAACTAATGAGCACAGAACTCTAGGAAAACTCCCACACAAATAATACAAGTTGAATCCAGTTTTTATTTGAAACCTACATCCCCATCACTCTCATCTTCCTCGTCCTCATCATTCACTTCTGACTTCGACTTGTCAGATTCATCATCAGCATTTCCTCCAGCCTAGAATCACCCAATAGAAACCAATCATTTCCACAACAAACTACCATTCCATAATTATTTTCCATAAAAGCAACAAAAAGTTATCAGCAACAGAAAGTATACCAATCTTTTGTTATAAGCAGCCATGTCCTTGTTGTATTCAGTCTTTCTCTTCTCAGCCTTAGCCACAAAAGGAGCTTTCTCCTGATATTATTAAAAAAAAAATCAGACAAACACAAAACCAGTTAAAATCAAAATTAAGAAATATACTAATCAATTAAAATACTCACAGCTTCACTCATGGATTTCCACTTGTCTCCACCGGCTTTACCAACCTGATTCATATAAATACAGAAAATTACATTTCTGCTAAATCATCTAGTGCAAACATATAATTAAAAAATCAACAAAATTTAACTCTCTTTAAATTACATAATTAGCAAATAAGAAAATTAACTCTATGCTTCAATTTTATAATTAGCAATTTAAAAAAGGATCAAATCAATCTCCGTTTGGCAACTAAATTTGAATAAAATTAATTACAAGTATAAAATATTAACAAATTACTCTCTATTTAGAGATTAAGATTAAACATAAACACAAGAATTTAAACATAAAAAATAAATAAATTCAAAATCTGTTTAGATTGCTTACAGCAGCAACAGATTTATTGTTTGGATGAGCCTCCTTATACTGCTTCCTAAAATCCTCCCTTCAAGATTGAAACGATAAAACAAATCAGTACACAATAAATCACACAAAAAACACCAAAATCTTTTTTTTTCAAAAAAAAAAAAAAGTAAAATACGGAGATCTCTTACATGAAAACGAAGAAAGCACTAGCAGGCCTTTTCGGCTTGTTTGGATCCTTCGCAGCCTTTTTCGACGCTTTAGTTCCAGCCCCTGCTCCTTTTCTCTTTAACCTAATCAACAAACAAAGAAAACCACAATCACAAACCAGAAAACGCAGCAAAAACCACAATAAAAAACCAGAAAAAGATATCATAAAACACACAAGAAGATCTCAGATCTGATTAATATGACATAAACACGATTAAAACCAGCGAAAACTCACTTGGCGTCAGTGTTTCTGGAATCAGCTTTTGATCTACCGCCTTTCATGGTGATTTCTGCAAAGAAAACGTTCAAAACCGGTGAGAACGGAAGGAAAACGGTGCGACTCAGGGTGAGTCAGCGGCAAAGGGAGAGCGAGTTTACCTTCGAGAGAGAGTTTCTAGGGTTTGTCTTAGGAGATAAGGAGATTTGGTAATTTTTGGTGCGGTTTGTGTGTGGCTTAAAGAGAGTGTTAGGGGAAGGGGTTTTTGGGAAACAAAAGAATGCAAGTTATTAAAATTGAATCAATCACTGCCCTTGCCTTGCCCGCGGGTTTGGGCGGGATTTCAAAATTGTTCTTTTCGGATTTCCCCTTTTTCTTTTCTTTTTTGCCAGGTTGGCGATCCTTGCGATTTTGCTCTATTGGACTATCCAGTGTATCGGCTTTTTTTTTTTTTTCCTTTTTTTGGTTTTCTTCTGTGTTGAAAAAAAATCAAACTCCATTGTACGAGTCCGTATGTTTTCGTTTGAATTTTAGTATTTGTTGAATCTGTATAATGGATTTAAGTTTAAATGACAAAATCAAATGGGAAAATGTGTGTATAATAAGAGTAGTGAAGATTTGACCTATCCACGATGACATTTCAAATTAGTGAAATTTCAAGATTTTAGAATATATATATATATATACATACCAAGTTTATGATGCATCTTCTTAAATATCATGAGATTTGGAAATTTTAGATTGTTGAACTATGTAATTGATGCAATTGTAGAGCAAATGGGTTTTTACTCTTTGTTATCATGCATTTGGGTTTGAATTAAAAAAGAAAATTATACAAAAATGAAATTTCTCTTGAATGCATATTTTTAAATATAGGTGACATGAATAAATTTAATTACAAATGGACTTGATCTTCATGTATTCTACAAAGAGTTTGAAATACCCTAATCGTTAAATTAAATGGATAACAAAAGATATTTGAGATGAAAATTTCATTTACGATCTTGGTCTACTCCCATTTATTATTTGTTATAGTTTCATACCAAATTTAAATTAAAGAGAAAAGTTAAGAATAAGTATGTGCAACAACAAAAAATCTTTCTCGTGAAAAAATTTATTCATTTTTAAGTAGTCTTAAATGAACATTAAATTACTAATCTTTAGTTGTGAGGTTAAGAACCTTCGAGGATAATGTGGCTTTTTAATGATCGTTATAGAATTGGGATACTTGCTCATGGATGAGAGTCATACTAGATAAAATACCTACAAAGCAAATCCTCCTTATTAGTTGGAAAACCTTTCGATGATCAAGTTAATATAAGGATAATGTGCCTTTTTAATGACTCGTTATGGAATTGGGATACTTGCTAATAGATGAGAGTCATACTAGATGAAATACCTATAAAACAAATCCTCCCGATTAGTTGGAAAATCTTTCGACAATCAAGTTAGTATAAAGAGAGGGAGATTAACTAGAGAAAGTTATAATGCCTAAATAGAAAAAGAAGATGAATAGCAATAACTAGATTAGAGATTTAATACTTTTAGTTTTAAATATCTTGGCTATTTATATAGCCAAAAAAATCATCAAATTGTATGAAATTAGGGATGGAATGATATTTTTTTTTATACCAACCACTTTTGATACCAGTTGAGGAAACAAATATAGTTGATGTTGATAGGTCACCGTTGGAAAGTATCATGGCATCACTTATTGGTGTTGGTTAGACAAAAAATAGCCTAAAAAATGTGCTTTCAATTATTAGATATACTCTATATCCTTTTTGTTTAGTGGGGTTGGTTTGATTCTCCGAATTATAGACAATTGGATTTTTCTTGTGGATATTCTCTAGTGGTATAGATACATCCATTCATCTATTTTCCTAACATGGGTTTTTCCATCAAGTTTTTGTTTGAATGTGTTGTTAGGTAAAAAAAAAAAAAAGAATTATGTGTATACATATCAATCATGGTGAAGGCTCATGAGTCTCATAGGATGACACATGTCATCCAAATATATTAGTTGCCCTCAAGTTTGGCAAGTGTGATTACAAAGATTAACCTACATCAAAACATATATGAGACACGTGTCACATTTTGAATAATCATAAGATCCTTTCGTCCATCCCATCTTTGTATATTGCATTTGAAGTCATCATTGTATTTTATCTTTGTATTTGTGCTTTTATAGACAAGACCAATCATTGGTGTGTGGAATGAGGTGAAAAGACTAGGTATTTTGAAATTTTGAATGTCCATCAAGATTTAGACCATGTCATTAGTTAAGTGGCACACATGGCTAACTATGATCGACCACATCATATTGAGTCTACCGATTATGCATGAGCCTTTCCTATGATATGATGTGAAGGCTTACGTGTCTTGGCTAATATAAGGCAACAAGGCCCTTCTTTCTCTCATTTTCATTTTCATCTTCTCTATTTTTAGTTTTAGTCTAGGTGATATTTGATGAGTGTGAGAGAGTTTTTAAAAACAATTCGGATGAATTTTATCTACCAATCACTCATACAAGAGTTCATTCGACCTTGTTAGGGTGATAATCACCACTACTCTAATGGTTTTGAGGAGAAGATCAAACTTTTTCGTAGTTGTTCATTTTTTTCGGTGATTGGTGATTTTTTTTATAGGTAAAAGCCTTTATCCATCTTTTTCCTTGTTAAAAGTTAGAAAATGATAGATTTAGATAGAGTAAGAAGTATATCTAAGGTCATCCCAAATGGTGGCTACCATAAGCACAAGAGAGAAGAGCCTAAATATGGAGATAGTTATCCCTCATAAGAGTCGTATAGACGTCTAAATGTTTCTTTAATGATGAACACCTTAGTGAAGTATATATTGAAAGATTGGATGCTTTTAATATTCGTTTGAGGTGGAGGTATCGTGTCATCATTCCAAGCTCAAATGATAGGATTAACAAATAGTCAATCGAGTCCATAAGAGATAACATAAAGATAAATATGTCCACCTATATAGTTGCCTACAACATGGATAACCTCCCTCTATTTGAGTTTGTAGCAAAGGTTTTCTAACGTTATAGCATGCATAAGAGTCAACTTTATCTAAATGATTGGGTCATTATAGTCATCTTACAAAACTTTCACAAATTATTTGGATAGCCCTCACTCTTAGGCTTTTTAAGTATCAACATCTCCTAGTTAGGAGTTCTAAAAGAAAGTAAGGGCTAACCTAGTTTTATACGTTTTTGACAAAAAAAAATCTAATCCATTGAAGGAGTATTCAAAGGCGGGACTAAACACATTAAAGAGTGGAAGAGGGAAAAGTTTGTGTTGAATTATAAAGAATCATTGCCTCTAGGTAGACTAGTAGAGGATTAAGATGCGCTCTTTTTTGAAAAATTCCCAAAGGCAATTATAATGGCATTCCCTCTTAAATTGAATTTGACCAAGACATTTAAAAGAGCATAGAAAATAAAGGGAAAAAGTACTAGATCAACTTTTTGGCTAAAATATGGTCATTAGCCAATGTTTGTAATGTAAATAAGCCAATCCTTATATTTTCTTTGTTATTATTACTTTTATTATGGATACTAACTTATTTCGATTTTTACAGCAGATGGAGAGCTTGAGTCAAAAGATCAAAAGTCTAAAGACCCAATCATTTTTTAAGATGTTAACTTGGTTGATAAAGTTTTTTCTTTCGAGCCATCTCGCTACTGCATTAAAAAGAGTACTTAGAGTCCTACCCGAACAAAGCTTCCATTAATGAGGATAGAGTTAAAACAAAAGTCATCTTAAAAGTTAAGAGTAGGAGTTCTCCCGAGTCAAATTCTTCTTTCTCAAAACGCACTATTTCCACTCCCATTGAGATAAGGCAAAAGAGAGAAAAAAATGGATGTAGTTGGAACTAAAGTCGGTTTAACAAAGAGATAGAAAATCGACTTTACTACCCTTTCTACATAAGGTTTCACCAACGTCGTTGTCGAGCACTTAGCTTATCTTCTATCTTTTTTCCAACTCGTATAGTGACTTTAGTTACACCATATGATGTTAGGTTTCTCTTTCATCCAAATAAGTTCTTCCGGTTATGTAATGTTCAAGTAAAGAACTTAGTGATAACTTCTACATTATAAGCAAAGACTAAGTTTAAACCTTCTCCCCTCATCCTTTATGAGAGGAGCAATTTCAAATGAAGAAGGCCATTTATTATAGATAAGCCTACTACATATAAGGATGAAGAGAAAGCCTCTCGGTTATATAGTTATATATGAAGGATCATGCATCTTATGGAGATACATAATAAATAAAAATTTTGTTCTCCATATCTAAAGTCTCAAGATCACCCATTGAATCAACTAACTATGTTAACAAGATGGATTAAATGTTATCTCTTGTAGCGTAGAATCTAATTTACGGATTGAATCACTCAAGCATCTAGTCTTTAATGATGATCTACTCGATCAAACACCCATACAAGAAGCAATATAAAGATTTAGAATGCTAGCTCTAATTTTTCTTTTATGTGTAATTTTTCCCCAAAAGAAATCTCTCAAAAGAAGATGCTTGCAATTTCTTTTTAAGGGAAGGTGGTGCAATTTCTTTCTTTTTTTTTAAATTGCGTTTCTCTCTCTCTCTCTCTCTCTCTCTCTATATATATATATATATATATATATTTGGCCACTTCTCCTTTTCGGTCGGGGAGTTATATCTTATGTGGTTTTGATAGATCTTATTCTTATAAATCCTAAATTAGGTTTAATGAACTTTTATCTTAATTTCTCAAAAATATCCCTCCGCTTAAAATTCCCCATGTAGGCTTTTAATTAAGTTTGTTGGCCCAAACTCCTTTGACCCAATAACTTAACAATTAATTTGGACCATCTAAATAAGCTAGATTAGATATTTTAGGGAGGCCTATATTAGGAATTAATTTCTTAAATCACCTTTGCAGTTTATTAAGCCTAAATTAAGAAATTAATTTTCATTTTAGGAAATTGATTTCCAAAAAAAAAAAAAAACTAATTTTCAATTTATATAACCGACTTCTAAATTAGATAATTGATTTCCAAATTAGAAAACTAATTTCT